GAAGGCTGGAGGCAGTGGAGATGTCGTGTCTGAGGGCAATGTGTGGTGTGAATATAATGCAGAGAATTCGTAGTTTGGAAGTTAGGAGGAGGTGCGGGATTACCAAAACTGTTGTCCAGAGGGCTGAGGAAGGGTTGTTGAGGTGGTTCGGACATGTAGAGAGAATGGAGCGAAACAGAATGACTTCAAGAGTGTATCAGTCTGTAGTGGAAGGAAGGCGGGGTAGGGGTCGGCCTAGGAAGGGTTGGAGGGAGGGGGTAAAGGAGGTTTTGTGTGCGAGGGGCTTCGACTTCCAGCAGGCATGCGTGAGCGTGTTTGATAGGAGTGAATGGAGACAAATGGTTTTTAATACTTGACGTGCTGTTGGAGTGTGAGCAAAGTAACATTTATGAAGGGATTCAGGGAAACCGGCAGGCCGGACTTGAGTCCTGGAGATGGGAAGTACAGTGCCTGCACTCTGAAGGAGGGGTGTTAATGTTGCAGTTTAAAAACTGTAGTGTAAAGCACCCTTCTGGCAAGACAGTGATGGAGTGAATGATGGTGAAAGTTTTTCTTTTTCGGGCCACCCTGCCTTGGTGGGAATCGGCCAGTGTGATAATAAAAAATAATAATAAAATATTATACTATTATTATTATTATACATATTACAGTGGACCTCCGGCTCACGATATTAATCCGTTCCTGAAAGCTCATCGTAAACCAAAATTATCGGAAAGCGAATCAATATTCCCCATAAGAAATAATGGAAATCAAATTAATCCGTGCAAGACACCCAAAAGTATGAAAAAAAAACTTTTACCACATGATATATTAAGTTTAATGCAATATAATAATTACAATAACAATAATAACAAGAGAATAATCACAATAGAATAATTGTCACTTACCTTTAATGAAGATCTGGTGATGATTGATGGGATGGGAGGAGGGGAGAGTGTCGAAGTTTTTAATGTTTAGAAGAGGAATCCCCCTCCATTAGGACTTGAGGTAGCAAGTCCTTTTCCGGGGTTACTTCCCTTCTTCTTTTAATGCCACTAGGACCAGCTTGAGAGTCACTGGACTTCTGTCGCACAACATATCTGTCCATAGAGGCCTGTACCTCTCGTTCCTTTATGACTTTCCTAAAGTGGTTCACAACATTGTCAGTGTACAGGTTTCCAACACGGCTTGCAGTAGCTGTGTCAGGGTGATTTTCATCAAAAAAGGTTTGCAATTCAAGCCACTTTGCACACATTTCCTTAATTTCAATAGTCATTAGCACCCTTGGTCTCGATGGGTTGGCACTAGAAGCTTTCTTGGGGCCCATGGTGACTTATTTTGCAGAAACAAGCACCAAAAACAGTGATAATATGGATAATATAGAATGTACCGAATGTATCCCTAGATGCGCGCACACTGGCTGGCTTGTAAACACTGGACATGTCTCGTACGAATCGTATCGCATACCGGGTTTTGTAATGGGAACCGAGGCAAATTTTTTGCGATATAATGCTTCGGATGCCGGATTTATCAGATACCGATGGCTTTGCAAACCGGGGGTCCACTGTATTATTATTATTATTATTATTATTATTATTATTATTATTATTATTGTTACAATGTAAATAATTTGTACTTTTTATTCAAACAAAAAATATAAGATTTATTGTTATGCATTATTGCAATAATTGTATAAATAATGTCAACCCATTCAAGACTGCATATTGGAACACAGCCAAGCAATGGAACATTTCTCCTACGTTGAGCTCAATTTCAAGGGACTTCTCAGCATGAAAGCAATCAAAATCATATCTATTTCTGTAATATATCTTCCATTCTATCAAATGAGACCAAAATAACGAGAATACAACCATAAAAACCATACAAAAATACCGCTAAGGGGTGGCTAATTGCTGAGAAGTGAATTCCATTATTTATGCTCCGATTTCTTTCATTTTTGGGGTAAGTTAAGAAGCATCTTTCCATCATACATTGCCCAAGTTTCAATAAGATAGTCCAACAAACAAATGAGATACAATCCCCTAGATCAAAAGCAAGAGCCCCTCACCAGTGTCAAGGAACCTGCCTTGAGGTCAGCTCGCTTATGGAAATTTTGCTCGCGCATGGAAGCAAAAAATCGACCCATCAACTGCTCATATTTCGAAAAACTCGCACGTGGATGCACTTGTTAGTAGAGGTTTCACTGTATATGCTTGTACATGCATGTGTAGTGTGACCTAAGTTTAAGTAGAAATAGCAAGATGTACCTGAAATCCTGCATGTTTATGAGACAGAAAAAAAGACAACAGCAATCCTACCATCATGTAAAACAATTACAGGTTTCTGTTTCACACTCACTTGGCAGGATGGTAGTACCTCCCTGGACAACTGTCTACCAACTTAGTAACTAGGTATTAATAAATATAACTGAAAGGAAATAAAAGCTGAGCATAACACGTACAAAATCTGGACTACGAGTAACATCCAGGATGGTGTCATTATACATGGATCCTTGGTACTACTATTGTACTGTAACATCCAGAATAATGTCATTATACATGGATCCTCTGCACCTCACACTAGCAAATGACCATTTCTCCCACTTTAACACATCAGGTTTTACATTCAATCTCATTTTTAAATAAATCTGTACGCTATGGAATTTTACAAAATTCAAGTTTTCCAACTCCTATGGCCTGGCCCTAGGCCAAGCTTATCTGGTATTTGCCTGGTCAATCAAGCTCTTGCTGGCCCATTGGCCCACATACCCACAACAGCCTAGCTGATCTAGCACCTGGGCTGAAGAAACTATTGGGATTCCACTTACAGACTTCTACAGTTGCTCCAGCAGCTTCAAGCCACTTTGTCCTGTGACAAGGGAGTGACCAGATAGTCAATGCTGGGTCACTGAAGAAGTCAAGGGTGAGTACAAATAGGAAGCATATGTCTTGTGGGTGGGATTAAATTATGGGGAATCAAATACAGTGGACCCCAGCATAAAGATTACCTCCGAATGCGACCAATTATGTAAGTGTATTTATGTAAGTGCGTTTGTACGTGTATGTTTGGGGGTCTGAAATGGACTAATCTACTTCACAATATTTCTTATGGGAACAAATTCGGTCAGTACTGGCACCTGAACATACTTCTGGAGTGAAAAAATATCGTTAACCGGGGGTCCACTGTACAAAATAGGAATTGACACAGTTACTTTTTGCTGATGATACTGTGGTTATAGGAGATTCTAAAGAAAAATTGCAAAGGTTAGTGGACGAGTTTGGGAGTGTGTGTAAAGGTAGAAAGTTGAAAGTGAACATAGAAAACAGTAAGGTGATGAGGGTATCAAATGATTTAGATAAAGAAAAACTGGATATCAAATTGAGAAGGAGGAGTATGGAAGAAGTGAATGTTTTCAGATATTTGGGAGTTGACATGTCAGCAGATGGATTTATGAAGGATGAGGTTAACCACAGAATTGATGAAGGAAAAAAGGCGAGTGGTGCGTTGAGGTATACGTGGAGACAAAAAACGTTATCTATGGTGTCAAAGAAGGGAATGTATGAAAGTATAGTGGTACCAACACTCCTATATGGGTGTGAAGCTTGGGTAGTAAATGCTGCAGCGAGGAGGCGGTTGGAGGCAGTGGAGATGTCCTGTCTAAGGGCAATGTGTTGTGTAAGTATTATGAAGAAAATTTGGAGTGTGGAAATTAGGAGAAGGTGTGGAGTTAATAAAAGTATTAGTCAGAGGACTGAAGAGGGGTTGTTGAGGTGGTTTGGTCATTTAGAGAGAATGGATCAAAGTAGAATGACATGGAGAGCATATAAATCTGTAGGGAAAGGTTGGAGGAAAGGGGTGAAGGAGGTTTTGTGGACGAGGGGCTTGGACTTCCAGCAAGCGTGCGTGAGCGTGTTAGATAGGAGTGAATGGAGACGAATGGTATTTGGGACCTGATGAGCTGTTGGAGTGTGAGCAGGGTAATATTTAGTGAAGGGATTCAGGGAAACTGGTTATTTTTATATAGCCAGACTCGAGTCCTGGAAATGGGAAGTACAATGCCTGCACTTTAAAGGAGGGGGTTGGAAAATTGTCAGTTTGGAGGGATATGTTGTATATTTTTATACGTATATGCTTCTAAGCTGTTGTATTCTGAGCACCTCTGCAAAAACAGTGATTATGTGTGAGTGAGGTGAAAGTGTTGAATGATGATGAAAGTATTTTCTTTTTGGGGATTTTCTTTCTTTTTGGGTCACCCTGCCTCGGTGGGAGACAGCCGACTTGTTAAAAAAAAAAAAAAGTCTTGTGCTAAGAAGATAGAGGATCAAGTTTCCGCCAGGTATGTCTTACGCTGTAGCGCTTAATGTGAATTATTACAATTATTACTGAAGCCGAGAGTATGGCCAAAGTGCCACTAAGGTCAAAGATATCAAAGTGGTCAGGGTGGACATCAGCACCAGAGTGAGGCAACAAAGGAGTGCTCAAAATTGGTACCAGGTTCCAAGGAGTCAGAGGCATACAGGGATCATCAACAGATTAGTAATCTCCTTAACCTCCCTATTTCCTCACCCACAATCAAGCTTAATGAAGGGAGGCTTAATACTTGACTACAACAAATGACCCCAGGGTTTATAGAGAGGTATACACAAGTACTGTACCATTAGTGAGCCACTACAAGCCAAGGCAATCTTGAGGGCATCAAGAGCTTACCCACTATGGCAAAGACAGCAAAGACTGTAATCCTCTTACCACATAACGGCCCTGTCATCAGGAGGACCAAAGCTTAAAAACAAGTGAAAATATGACTGCCCTCAGCAAGCATATACAAGTGAGAGGAGAAAAACACAAGAGGTAAAAGGCACACAAACAACAACATGGAATTCTCTGCCTGAAAATGACAAAAGTTTCCTAGGTGCCAATATTTTTATTACTAAATTTTGTTAAAATAACACCTATTAGGTCCTACGTATGCTAAATGTTTTATCTGACATTCAAAACATATAAAATTTATCCTATGTACTTACACTATCATTAATGATCCAAAAGAAAGAGGCCATTGTTGTGCGCTGCTTAAGCCAATCATGTGGGTCATGGATAACTGCTGTGATGTTGGTTTCATTGGCAGTCGAGATGAAATTGGTGCCAGATATTGGCAAAGTTACATTTGGTTGATAAACTGTCAGCTCTCCATTAAGATATCCTGAAAGACAAATAAAAGAATAACTCTGATGAAGTTATCCCCATCCAAAAAAAAAAAAAATCTTACTTGCATACCATCTCTGTTAATTTGAAAAACATGTTTTTTAAGGACATATTTTATATATAATAAGTGTTTGATTGAACTTTGCATAGAAAGGGGTTTGGTTATATGTAATACACAGTTTAAGAAATAAAGGATAGGTATACAAGATATGATATAGGTGAGGGAGCATAGTTCTAGCTGCCCAGAAAACTTTTGTTCCAAGTAGGGAAATTAGATTTAACAACAATGATCCCAAATGGATGAGCAATAGATTAAAACATCTCATTGGCCAAAAGAGAGGCATATATAGGCATATCAAAAGAGGGGATGGGCAGTTAAGAAATCAATATATTCAATTAAAGAGAGAAATAAAGAAAGGAATAAGAAAAGCAAAAAGGGATTATGAGGCTAAGGTCGCAAGGGATTCAAAGACTAACCCAAAAGAGTTCTTTCAGGTATACAGAAGTAAGATTAGGGAACAAGACTGGCCCACTTAAGAGTAGCACTGGTCAGATCACTGACAGTGATAAGGATATGTGTGAAATTCTAAATACCTACTTAATCTCAGTTTTCACCCAGGAAAATACTAGCGATATTCCTGAAATAATAGATTATGTAGAACAGGATGATAATAAACTATGTACGATTGCGGTAACTAGAGACATGGTCCTCAGACAAATAGAGAAACTAGAACCTAACAAATCCCCAGGTCCTGATGAACTGTTTGCAAGGGTGTTAAAGGAATGTAAAGAGGAACTTAGCATACCTTTGGCTAATCTTTTTAACATATCACTACAAACTGGCATAGTGCCTGATAAGTGGAAAATGGCAAATGTAATACCTATTTACAAGGCAGGTGACACGTCCATGGCTTTGAACTATAGACCAATAAGCCTTACCTCCATAGTGGGAAAATTTGGAATCAATAATTGCCGAAGCAATTCATAGCCATCTTGACAGGCACAGATTGATTAATGAATCTCATCACGGTTTTACAAAGGGGCGTTCCTGTCTTACGAATCTACTAACTTTTTTCACTAAGGTGTTTGAGGAGATAGATCATGGTAATGAATATGATATTGTGTATATGGACTTCAGTAAGGCTTTCGATAGAGTTCCACACCAGAGGCTATTGAGGAAACTTAAGGCACACGGAATAGGAGGAGAAATTTTTTCCTGGGTAGAGGCATGGCTGACAAATAGACAGCAGAGAGTTTGCATAAATGGGGAGAAATCAGAATGGGGGCACGTCACAAGCGGTGTTCCTCAGGGATCAGTGTTGGGCCAGTTGTTGTTCACAATTTCCATAAACGACATGGGATGGGGGAATAAATAGCAACTAAGCAAATTTGCTGATGACACCAAAATAGGCCGTCCATTCATTCTAATGAGGACACTAGAGCACTCCAGGATGATTTGAATAGACTGATGCAATGGTCAGAGAAGTGGCAGATGCAGTTTAATATTGACAAATGCAAAGTTCTAACTGTTGGACAGTTAAATAACCATACCACATATAAACTAAATAATGTAGATCTTAACACTACTGATTGCAAAAAGGATTTAGGAGTTCTGGTTAGCAGTAATCTAAAACCAAGACAACAGTGCATTAGTGTTTGCAATAAAGCTAACAGAATTCTTGGCTTCATATCTAGAAGTATAAATAATAGAAGTCCTCAGGTTGTTCTTCAACTCTATATATCCTTGGTTAGGCCTCATTTAGACTATGCTGCTCAGTTCTGGTCACCGTATTACAGAATGGATATAAACTCTCTGCAAAACGTACAGAGGAGGATGACAAAGATCCCATGTATCAGAAATCTTCCCTATGAGGATAGACTGAGGGCCCTAAATCTGCACTCTCTAGAAAGGCGTAGAATTAGGGGGGATATGATCGAGGTGTATAAATGGAAAACAGGAATAAATAAAGGGGATGTAAATAGCGTGCTGAAAATTTCCAGCCAAGACAGGACTCGCAGCAATGTTTCAAGTTGGAAAAATTCAGATTCAGGAAGGATATAGGAAAGCACTGGTTTGGTAATAGAGTTGTGGATGAGTGGAACAAACTCCCAAGTACAGTTATTCAGGCTAAAACGTTGTGTAGTTTTAAAAATAGATTAGTTAAATACACGAGTGGGTGTGGATGGGTGCGAGTTGGACCTGACTAGCTTGTGCTGCTGGGTCTGGTGCAGTGCTCCATCCTTGAGTGGAGATGACCAGTCTGGGTGGGTCATTGGGCTAATCCGGGGGGGGGGATATCATTGGTCTAATATTTGGGGGGACATGGACCTGCTCCGCATGGGTCAGTAGGCCTGTTGCAGTGTTCCTTCTTTCTTATGTTCTTATAATGTCAGTAGTTTGTTGGACTATGCATTGGTAGATAGAAGACTGTTGGGTAGACTTCAGGATGTGCATGCTTATAGAGGGGCCACAGATATATCAGATCAATCAATCAATCAATCAATCAATCAAAAGTTTACTCTCTATAAAGATTACAATGTAGGGTTTACATATTATAAAATATTGCTTACAATGTGTGGTTTACATATTATAAAATACTAATTACAGAGAGGGCCACTATCATGCCTAGCATGACTAGGCATTTTGGGCACTTTTTAGTTGTAGCTACAGTGAGAGTAAAAGGTAGATGGGATACAAGGAGAATGGTATCAGAAAGTAAAAGAGAGGGGAAGGTTTATAAACTAATGGAGGAGGCAGTTAGGGTAAGATATAAACAACTGTTGGAGGACAGATGGTCTAGTGTGGGTATAGGCAATGGGGTAGAAGATGTCTGGGGTTAATTTAAGAATACAGTGTTAGAGTGTTCAGCAGAAGTTTGTGGTTACAGGAAAGTGGGTGTGGGAGGGAAGAAGACCGATTGGTGGAATGATGTAAAGAGAGTAGTAAGAGAGAAAAAGTTAGCATATGAGAGGTTTTTACAAAGTAAAAGTGATGCAAGGAGGGAGGAGTATAGGGAGAGAAAAAGAGGTTAAGACAGTGGTGAAGCAATGCAAAAAGAGAGCAAATGAGAGAGTGGGTGAGATGCTATCAACAAATTTTGTTGAAAATAGGAAAAAGTTTTGGAGTGAGATTAATAAGCAGAGAAAACCTAGAGAACAAATGAATTTGCTAGTTAAAAATAGGAGAGTTATTAAACGGAGAGTTAGAGGTATCGGGAAGATGGAGGGAATATTTTGCAGAATTGTTAAATGTTGATGAAGATAGGGAAGCTGTGATTTTGTGTATAGGGCGGGTAGGAATAACATCTTATAGGAGTGAGTAAGAACCAGTTGTGAGTATGGGGGAAGTGCATGAGGCAGTAGGTAGAATGAGAAGGGGTAAAGCAGCTGGGATTGACAGGATAAAGATAGAAATGATAAAAGCAGATGAGGATATAGTTTTGGAGTGGTTAGTGTTTCTATTTAATAAATGTATGGAAGAGGGTAAGGTACCTAGGGTGAACATTAAAATGGTATAAAATACCGACAGGGTGTTAGGTAAGACACATATGCAACAGTTAGGTATCTTTATTTCAAAACGTTTCGCCTACACAGTAGGCTTCTTCAGTCGAATACAGAAAAGTTGATAGAAGCAGAAGAGACTTGAAGACGATGTAATCAGTCCATCACTCTTAAAGTTTTGAGGTGGTCAGTCCCTCAGTCTGGAGAAGAGCATTGTTCCATAGTCTGAAACAATATGGAGTTGAAGTGACAGGATGGAGCCTTATATAGCGCCAGGAGGTGAGACGTAGGTCACTAGTAGAACGTAGATGTTGGGAGGTCAGGTCCCTCTCAAATCCAGCCATTCTCACTAGTAGAGGTTGTCGAAGTATGTTCTACTAGTGACCTACGTCTCACCTCCTGGCGCTATATAAGGCTCCATCCTGTCACTTCAACTCCATATTGTTTCAGACTATGGAACAATGCTCTTCTCCAGACTGAGGGACTGACCACCTCAAAACTTTAAGAGTGATGGACTGATTACATCGTCTTCAAGTCTCTTCTGCTTCTATCAACTTTTCTGTACTCGACTGAAGAAGCCTACTGTGTAGGCGAAACGCTTCGAAATAAAGATACCTAACTGTTGCATATGTGTCTTACCTAACAAGGTACCTAGGGACTGGCAGAGAGCATGCATAGTTCCTTTGTATAAAGGCAAAGGTGACAAAAGAGAGTGTAAAAATTATAAGGAAAGAAGTCTATTGAGTTCTAGGCAGTAGGTTGGCAGACAGCAACTGCCCAGGGAGGTACTACTGTCTTGCCAAGTGAGTAAAACGAAAGCCTGTAATTGTTTTACATGATGGTAGGATTGCTGGTGTCTTTTATCTGTCTCATAAACATGCAAGATTTCAGGTAAGTCTTGCTGCTTCTACTTACACTTAGGTCACACTACACATGCATGTACAAGCATATATATACACACCCCTCTGGGTTTTCTTCTATTTTCTTACTAGTTCTTGTTCTTATTTATTTCCTCATATCTCCATGGGGAAATGGAATAGAATTCTTCCTCCGTAAGCCATGCGGGTTGTAAGAGGCAACTAAAGTTAAAGAGAAACTTTTGTTTTTTTTTCTTTTTGGGCCACCCTGCCTTGGTGGGATACTGCCCGTTTGTTGAAAGTAGTAGTAGTAGTCGTCTTCTGTTGAGTATACCTGGTAAAGTGAATGGTAGAGTTATTAATGAAAGAATTAAGAGTAAGACAGAGAGCAGAATAGCAGATGAACAAGGAGGATTTAGGGGGTGTGTAGAAAAAGTGTTTTCAGTGAAACATATAGGTGAACAGTATTTAGATAAGAATAAAGAGGTTTTTGTGGCATTTATGGATTTGGAAAAGGCACATGATTGGGTGGATTGGGAGAAATGTGGCAGATGTTGCAAATGTATGGAGTAAGAAGTAGGTCACTGAAAGCATTGAAGAGTCTTTATGAGGATAGTGAGGCTGAGGTTAGAGTCTGTAG